CCCCCCCCCCCCCCCCTTAATCACCTTGTCGAACAGGTCGGGGTGGCCGTAGTGCATGCGGACCCTGAGCGGGTTGTTGAGCACCCTCTGCCCCAGGGTCACGAACGACAGCTCCTGCAGGGCCATGTAGTTGGCCAGCGAGCTGACGCTCCCGGTGAAGATGTGCTCGCGGAACCCGACGACCACGGCGGGGCGGCGGGCGGTACCCCCTCGGAACTCCTCCAGAAGGCAGCGCATCTTCAGGGCCTCCTCGAAGTAGCTTTGTGTCGGAGGGGGGGGCGGGGGGTGTACGAAAGGTTTTGCTCGAGAAAGGGGTTGCAGGGTGGTACTAGTTGTGGCGGATTTGATGGGAGCTCTCCAAGCCGAAGCGTCAAAAGGAGGGGCGACGCACACAAACATCTACATCAGCCACAACAACGACAGCGAGACGTCCACTTCCTCCCCCTGTTTCCCCTCTCCCCGACAAGGTCCCTATTTCACCCAAACACCTCCAACTGCCGATTCACCGCAACAAGCCACACAACGCAGACACAACCTCCAATGGTACTTGCACTATCAGCTGAAGTTACGAACCTACATTACCGAGTTTTTTATTGCACGGCTCTACACCACCACCACGACAACGTACTGCGACGAGAGCCAGACAAAGAACACAATACGGTATCAAATGCAGCCTATGGCACTACTCTGCGTGACGCGCAAAACGGGAAGGACGACGCTCGCTGCCGCTCTTACCCTTCCTGGCTCACGTCGCCCTTACCCTTCCTGGTTCATGTCGCTCTTACCCTTCCTGGTTCATGTCGATGGCCTGCAGGTGCTCCCCCCTCGTGAAGATCATGGCGTGGTTCTGGTTCTCGGGCTTGCCCTCCCCGACCACCGGGTTGCCCGGCAGCTTCACGCGGTACACCTCCTGGATGCCGTCGTCCCTCCCGCCAGCACCACCGCCGCCCCTCTTGCTGCCGTCCGCGTCTCCTTGCCCCCTCTGGTCGTGCGCCTTGATGAGCACGGAGAAGTACTCTTGGGCAGAAGACGTAGAGTCCCGGGACACGCGAACCTGTTAAGGAACCGCACGTTTTTTCCGGAGCATGTTTCCGTTTGCGCGAGCGAGGTTGAGGTGGCGGCGGGAGAGGGTTACGTATGGGTGCATCGTAGCGCCCTTGACACATCTACCGTAAACCAAAGAACACACAGAAAACAAAACGACAGCAGGACGGCAGGAGCAAAAACAACCAAGAGGAGCGCACGCCGCGCTTGCACATGTATGCACAGCGTCTGCACACCAACGAACACGCAATACACATCAACAACAACAACAACAATTAACAAAACGGCACAAAAAATACGACGAGTGTGCGGATAAAATGTGCTCTGTACAACAACGTCAACACGGGGGTGCCATCTCTCCGACAAATACGCTGTCTACCGAACACCAAAGACTGCACCAAAAAAACAACAACAGGAGGAGTGCACGCACCTCGTCGATGTAGGCAACGCGAAGGTTCGGGAAGCGCTTGAGGAGGATCTCGATGTCGTCCGCCTTAGGGTCCTGGTTCTTCTTCATACGACCGTACACCTGACAGGCCACCACGTACTGGAACTTCTGCACCACCAGCTCCTCGAGCTGTTAAAAGGTTTGTTTTCGAAGCCGCAAAAGAGAATGTGTGTAGGGGGGGTGGGTGGGCGAAGAAGGGTAAGATGGATGGAATCACGCCGACAGATACGTTCGGTTGTGTGCCAACCTAGAAGCTGGTGGGGTGGGGGTCCCTTCGAAGCCGCAAAAGGGATGCGTGTAGGGTGAGGGCGAAGAAGGGTAAAAAAGGTGGGAAAACAAGGGCAAAAACATACTATTGAGCCCGATTCAAGCACGAAATACACTGGGAATGGCTTTGAAGCGCTCCCGGAAAAACACGGAACGTTCCACGAAAAAAAATACACGCCAACGGATGAAAAAAAAAACGCATCTTGTTCCTTCCTTGGGTGTCTAGGGCTTCGTGGTGCGGCCTGATCTCGTCGCGTAAGCCATGTCCTTACCTTACCGATACAACGTCTTGCAAGCACTGTAGGCAACCACGCGGGAACCGGAACCTACCACAGCACGACCACCGCCATCACCGACTACAACAACACTTTTTCACCCACAAGCCTCCATCACCTTCAGGCAGACCATCACCACCATCACCAGCGACAACAACACCTCTCAACCGTACACGTGTTCCTGCTTCATCCTCTCAATGCACATTACCAGCACCACCACCAACACCACCAATTCCACCAACAATCCTACGACGACCACTTCCTCCCCAACATCAAACCTGTTACCTGAGCATCCCCTTTCACGATCACCAACGAAACAGTGACAAAAACCTATTACACATAAACACACACACCTGTTCCTCCTTGACTCTCTCCAGGCGGGCGAGCAGGCGCAGCGCGGCCTCGTAGTACATTATGCCCTCCACGGTCCGTGCGAGCGTCTGGGCGCGGAAGGAGGCCCACAGTCTCGTCGCCTCGATGTGCTTCTTGCTCATCGCCTGCTGCTCGCTCGTGATGCCCCTGCGCTCCATGAAGTTGCGCCAGTCGTGCTTGTACAGCGCCTGTTGTTGTTGTCGTTGTTGTCGTTGGTGGGTGGGGTTGGGTCACGCCGGTGTCAGTACGGGCAAGGGAAGGCGTTGACCACTGGCGAAACCATAGCGAGGAGGAGCAAATCATACGACACTTATGATAGCTAAACAGAAGCGAGACCCCCGCGCCCCTACCAACAAGGCTACCCCCCCAACAACTGCAACACTACTATGGTTGACCCTTCCTGCCTGTTGCGTCCTTCAAGCAAACACACACATCCCCAGCGCAAAAACTCCGTGCCCCCCCCCC